CTTCTGTCAAAAGGTGGGAAGTTCATTAAATCCCATGCAAGCAAACAGATGATCTCCCTGAAGGAAAGTGATACCTATATTTCCTAGATGAGAGCTTCTTCCAGATGGAAAGATAATTTACTGTGGCACCCTATGGCTCTTGGGGCAAAGCTAGTCTCTGTACAACAGCATCCTGCCATTGGGGGATTGTCGTAACACAGGAACACACACCTCTGCTGTGCAAAAACTGAACAGCTCCAAAGCAAGAGGTGGGATAACCTCCTGTGAAAAGGAAATAAATGTGGTAATATAAGGATGTTGCCAAAGAACAACATTCTCATAACATCTATTTACAAACACTATTATTGTCTTTTCAGGATCAAGAGGAGGCTAATTTAGATAAATACTTAATTTTATTACAAAAGTGAAATCCTTTAAACGAAATAAAATGTTATTTATGGTTGTATGTACTTGCTGCTGATACTGTGAATAAAGATAAGTCACTGAAAGGATGAAGATGTGTCACCGAGCGAGTGGGACAGGAGGTCACTGCACTGTGCTGTTGTAGCACAGTGGTTTCACAAGTGTGTGAAAAAGGTTATATTCTTCACTTTATTCAGTCAGACAAATTTTATGCCTACTTCACTCAAAAAACAACTGGAAGCTGAAAGACAGAAGTCAACTATGACCTTCCAAACTATGGAAAAAAGTGTGGTATGAGAAATGGCTACAATCTTAAAGGACATGAGGACCAGGAATGACCATACTGTCTTTGTTATATTATTGACTTGTTGGAAATGTAAAACATGTTTAGATAAACATTATTTTCCCTATGTGTCCAGCACATTCACTTAACTGTTAAAAACATCCATAAAAATTCTATTTTGGGGCCTTTTTAATTGGAATTCAGTTCCCATCCAAATGCAGCTTGACCCACCATGTGTTTAAAAATTACTCATATGGTAAACAGGAAAGTTGCCATTTACCTTATACTAACATAAAAGTTTAAAAAAACAAGGCTGAAATGTATTGTGAGACACAGTATTGCTTAAATCAAAATGACAGATGACCTTCATCGGTAAAATGAAATACAGGACTTAGTGGAGAAGCTTATAATTAGTAAAGGAAGTCATCATATTTTGTTTCAAATTCAAATGAGAATCATCCTTAAGAACATCTACTAAGAAAAGGAAATGCAAACAGCTATTAAAATTGATTGCTTAAGTAAGGGTTTCTTGCTTACATAGCTGGTGTTGCTTCACATCAGTCCCACTACCATGGGGGAACTTAGAATTCAAGAGCAAGAAGCAACAAAAGATGGTCCTAATAACTCACTTTCTGACTGATGAGCAAAATTCATTTTAAAACACCTCCTCTGCCTGGCTTTGGAAACAGAACATTATTTCTTTACGTTTTCTGTGCTCTCACCCAAGATTCACAGGTTGTCAAGTCTCCAAGGGGAACTTGAGGATTCTTGACATTTTTTGACATGCACGGGGCAGCTCTCCTCCCCGTTCGTCGGTGCACTATGGGCACAGACCAGTCTCCTTTATGGGAGCCCTGGTGCATCAGACAGGATCACCTCTGCTACCTGTCCCCACAGCACTTTGTGCAACAGTCCTGACCTAAGACTTAGATACCTGAGCAGTATCATAATGTGAGTAATAAATAACAAAACCAGTCTGGATATTCCTGTTTATTATGCTGCATCTCTCTGAGGATTTTTGCTTTTGTTATATAACAGGTTATCTCTCAGCCCTTGCTATCTCAGTTTTGCTCCCCCCCCCCGTATTACAATTCCCCTACACCATGTATTTCACAGGAGCACATTCTTGCTCTCCTTGCTGAACGTGGAAATTGCTCACACCAAGTGTGGATCTCTGGGCAGCACCTGGCAGGCAGCAAGTCTCCTCACATAAGGCCTTCACCTGTTCCCTTGAAGCCTGGAGTTGCAGCAAACACTATTTTTGGGCAGCTGCCAATCTCACAACCAAAGAAAAGGATCCTAAACAAAACTGGGATATTTCTTCTCTCTTGCCCTGGCACGCAGCACAAGATGTGCATCCCTGGGGGAGCCCCTTCTGCATGTGCCCTTCACTAGGGATTTTGGGGCTGCTGCTGTTTTGGCAGCTGCTACTTCACGCAGACGACAAAAAACACACTTGGCATTGTGCAATTTAAACAAAACCCTGCAATTTGTCCTGAAAGAACAGCTACAGAAACACAGAACCTGAATGTGGACACAGAGAAGCTGTGCCAACACCCCCACCCACGTGTGGCACATCAACAACCCCTATGGCTGTCCCAGGGCAGGGCATCGACCCGCGCATCCATCCCCAGCCCTGCGGAGAGCTGCACCAGCCACGCGTGTGCCCCGGGCTCCCTGGGCCCCCTCCCACAGCCACTGTGGCAGGAACCGTGGCATTAAAAGCTTTAGATCTTGATGTCAGCGCCTGCACTTTGTCAGGGTGACTTGCCTTAAAAGCTAGGACGGCAGTAAAGATGAAAAATGTTTTCGCTATTTTCTCCCCAGCTGCCCTCAAACTCTTTATCCCCAGCAGGATGCAGAGCGCTGCTGCCAGCACACTGCTCCTGTTCCCACCCCTGCGTGGCCACCAGCCACACCGGCCCAGGGCTGCTCCAGGGATGGCTTCCTTTGAGGTGGAGGTCGGGCAGCTGCAGGCTGGGGAAGGAACACCCCTTGGGCACAGCAGAAAGGCAGCAGGGATTGAAGAAATCTCACTAAATCCCTGCCTGTAGCTCAGTCAAGACAGGCTCTTCCCCATTTCAAGACAGCCAGAAAATCTGGCAAACAGCACCAGTCTTTCTCTAGATGCCCAGTAATGCAGACTCTGCACAGGACCTGAAACAGCAATAGGATACAGGTGACAAACACTGAACTGGACGTGTCTGAGAAGCCAAAACCAGGAGGGTTTTAATAGAAATCAGTAGCTTTTCTGGGATTTGCAAATAAATAAAAATGAAGTAATCTAATTTTTCAGAAGCCCGAAGCTAAGTAATTTATTTCTAAGTGTCCCTTTTAAACAGGCTTTCTCAGACTTCCTGGTCAAAACACTGCTGCTCCATATGAAATTTCAGCTCAGAGTTACTTTTAAAGACTACTGCTACAGCTGACAGGAAAGCCAAGTCCCAGTTTCTGATCTGAATAAAAGTCTTATACACTTTCTCCTAACATCATAAGTATAAAGCAACATGAAAAATGACTAAAACCAAAGCACCAGTTGCAGATCAAGTTCAGCACTTCACATCCGTTTGTCACTAGTGTAAATCCACAGCTGGTAAAGGGAAGTGAGTAAACCAGGCCTGTATTTTAGACACAAGCTGAGGGCTACCAGGGCATCCATAAAAGGGATTTCCCACCTCAGCATTCTCACCCTCTCTTGCCCGAAGTACTAAACCCATTCCTGAAAACAAGGGGAATGGGGCAATTTTGGCCTTTGTTACAAAATCACCTCTTGGGGAGGCTTTGCTGAGGTTTCTCGATTCAGTTGATGCAGATTGTGCTAAAACAGCAAGATGTCAGGTTAACTGCAATCCCAAGGAGGGCTCTTGTGAGAGAGAGGCATGGGTTGGGACCCCCCTGGAAGACCCTCCATCCTGGAAGAATGAGTTGGGGGGAGGTAGAGGGAAGAGGAGGATCTGTGACTGGTTATGTAGTCCACATCCCATTTGGTAAGAAATGCCAAGAGAAGGAGAATTCAGAAAAGAGGGACCAGAGGCAAAACCCAATGGGTCAGAAGTCTCCATGAAGGTGGGGGTAAAATATGCTGCATGTTGGTATCTCTGGTCCTTCCCTTCTGCTGATACTATGACCGCAGTTGCCCTGCCAGCCTGCTTTACCCACCAAACTTGGCTGCAGGCGGAATCACACATGTTGTGCTGGAAATCTCTGCCATTATGATTTATGAAAAATATTTTACTTTGGTCCCCCTGAAATGACATCATTCTCCTCTTTTATCTGTCTTGTTAGGACAGTGTGATGTTAACGACATGTACAAAGGCTTTGGGGTAGCTGAACAGTTTCATAGTCCCACACTGATAAATTAAAGCGTTTGTCACTATTACCACATTAATGTTTTTTCCTGAGATCAAAGTCTGGATTTGCTGCATCAAATAGTACTGTTCTCTGCTATGCATTACCATGCATTACCTTCCGAGGAAATGAATTGTGATTCTGTATTTTTACATTCACATTTTAATTACACCCTGATTCTCACACCTGCTGATTGCCATCTCCACATGCAGTATGCAAGTCATTTTTTTAGTATGAATTTTCTTCTAGCTACCTGTGAGAAAAGCCTGAATACCTTGTTTCAGGACAGTCGCTGCCTTCTGGCTCTGAAAGGCTACTTCTGCAGTAAAGAATACAATCTCCTTCCTCCTGAAACCCTGGATTCAGTCATGTTAATTTACATTTATATAACACCTTTCATCCCTGAAGATCCCAATGCACCTTACAATCTCACCCTCTCTGTACACAGAAGCTGTACAAATATATATGGCTACATAAACAGACACAGCAAGCCCATCACCAACTGCTGAAACGCATCTCTCTGTGTGTATTCCCAGCACACCTGTGGCAAGTCAGCTCTGCAATACCCTACATCATATCGCCATCAAGGAGGAAAATAAGGCCGTGTGATTTAGAGGCATGCCATTTCCCTGTTGGGAAAGAGCGAGGAATCTAGGCAAGCAACAGAATGGCTTTACAGCCTTGGCGACCGACATCTCCTTGGCACTCTGCTGCATAGGTTAAAATGAAGGAAAGACTGATTTGTGGTGAGTTATACCTCACTTCTGTTCTATCAGTGCCTGGAGAAGTCCAGGCTTGCTGTTCCCTTTCACTGATGGGTGACCCTCAAGCAGTTCATTTTCTAAACCTGAAAAATACCTTTATAATGAAAAGATAAGGGGAAATAAGCCCCCCTCTCCCCAACAGCAGCAGCTGATTGATGTCCTGCCAAACTGAGGATGGAGGAGAAGGAAGAACCCCAACATACCTGAGACACCTTTCTGACCACGTCGCTGCCCACTAGAAAGCCCTGTGCATAGGAGCGTGCTGCGATGAAGGCTCGGGTTGCCTTCACCTTCAGGTCTCTGGGAACTTCCCCGAAGGGTTTGTGCTGCTCCGCATGTTTCACCATGCAGTCCAGGTACTCATCTGTGATATGGTACTGGGGATTCATCAGCTTGAAGAGTCGCTCCAGCAAGCGTGTCCAGAACTCATTGAGGGCCTCTTCCAAGTTGATGTTGGAGCCCCGGTAATAGCGGCGTAACTCGCTGTACAAGTCCTTGAAGACCTTCATGTTCTGAGTGTACAATTCCCCATACATGCTTGGAAAAGCATCATAAAGAGCCTTCTCTGACTTGTTCAACAAATCCTGGAAATAACCTGAAGAGAGAAGAAAAAGGTGATGCATCAGTTGGACAAGCAGGAATGCAATGGGCTGTGCTGTTTTACAGCACAATCGAATGCCCTGAGAGAAGAGATGGGCCCTAATACAGCATTTCCTCAAACTCACCTTACTCACAATTTTAAGCCTCAATTTTGAGCCTCAGCTGAGAAGACTGAAGGAGGAACCCCCCAGCACCAGTGACAGAGAACCAGGCTCTGGGCCTCCTGGCCTCTTCTGGCTGCTTCACCTAGAACCAAAACTGAGGCTCTTCTCTGAGTGCTTAATGTGCCACACTGTTACTCATAGGTTTTCTTTACAGAACACATCAACTGTCATTGCTTACACATAACCGTAACTTGCCACAACGCCTTATGAGACACTCAACCCTGAAACAAGAGCCAGTTGCTTCTGGCACAGAAGTTGACACTTGTTAAACATCCCTAGCAAACATTATAAACACACAAGGATGTCTGGAGGCTGCTCAGGAGATGAAGGTCTATTCTGTAATAACTGCTGTTAAGACTCAGACTAACACATCAATATTAGTGTCCACACCAGAATGAAGCAAGTTAAAAATTTCATCTAGAAGATAACCTGAAGTCTTCCATTCAATCACATGAAAGGCTGAAATTCCTCCAGTATCACCTGCTCCTACTATCATACAAAAGTGAAGGCTTTTCTGAAGGAGACTTCTTCAATTTTAAAATAGAACTTGCAAACACACACCCCCCCACACACCCCCCCATTTTCCGCTTTTTCCTGGAAGGCTGCCATTCCTGGCTGAAGCACTGATAATCTGGGGAAGCCAGCGGGGCTCCAGCACAGCCAGCACAAAGCACAGCGGTCTAAAACAAGGTCCCTGCAGGCATGAACTCCTCTTTGGGGCACCACATCTACTTGAAGAGGACATGGCTTTACTCTGACTAACTGATGTTCCCACCAACCCCAAACCACCACAATCCACTGCATAACTTGAAGTGACCTTTGGAAAGATGACTGCAACTTGTTTGAGCCCCCTTTCTTTCCTGCCTCACTGCTTATTTTCCACCATGTTACTTCCAAAGCCCTGGTGAGTTGGAGCAGGGCTGCCACCAGCAATGGTGCCAGCTCTTCAGAGATACCCCCATCAGCTCTAGTCATGGCAGCCAGCCTGGCTCGAGGCACAGCCCATAAAGCGTGTGCGAGTCCCAGGTGCTGTGACAGGAGCAGGCATGTATTATTACACATTTAAAGACAGGGTTGTACTCAAGTGTTTTTGAGCTGAGGACAACATTATCATGTTCATGGTTCTCATCCCATTTGACTTCTTTGGATTTGCATCCTATTTTGTTTAGGTATAAACAACTAAATGGTTTTATGCCATAGGTTCAGTGGTCACAGAAGTGACAGAAATGCAATTCCTGCTACATACAGCAGGGTAAAGGTGACAGATTCCATTCCTCCCTTACCAACATCTTTAGGTATTGCCATCTTCTTGACTGCCAGCTACTTTCAGGCTCTCTGAGACTGCACAGTAGGGAACTTATAGAAGGACCAACCCGATTCAATTTTTTGATTTACATAAGCAACTTTAATCAGCACTTAAGTCAGTGAGAGAAACAATGGTTCAAATTATCATTTTCATTTCAATTACATTTGTACTTTTTAGGGCCTTTTCGAAGCAAACCTGATTACACTATTCTTTAAATCTAAATTACTTTTTTTTTTTTTTTTTTTTTTTTTTTTTTTTTTTTTTGGGGTGATGTATGATAAGATCTAGTTGGAGGGAAACTATTATTCAATTAAAATCAAACAGCATGTCTTTAGGTATATAAATTAACTTCAATGTGCTAGGCATATAAAAAAAGAAAGAAAAGCTTGTGAAATATGCATATTGCATGTATAAAGCGTTATTAAAGTATTTTTTGAGGGAATAGCACTGATTACAATTAAAGACCTCTAAACTTTTAGAACTGGTAAAGCTCATTTCCATAGGTCTTGCTTATATTTAGAGACGGGAAGGGCCATACAAGCTTCCCTACATTAACAATCTCTCATTTGCTTCTCAGATTTAAATGAAGTTAAAACTCAACAAGTGGATTGAACAAGTGAAAACACCTTCTGCATCTGCACAACAGGCTACTAATACTGAAAATTCCTGTAGTATTTTAACAAACCAATACTGAGCATTAACAGCCTGGCTTCCTCTAGCTACAATCGTGTACTGCTTAATAGTTTAAAATTTGATTTAAGTGGTTTTAAAAGATCGTGAACAAACTAGATTTTAGCAGAAGTTTGGTTTAATCACTTATGCAGAAAATTAAAATTAAAAAATATCTAAAATGTTGATGAAAAACTATGGTTTTCAAGTGTACTTTTGAAAGAAATTTATTCTTATTCCACCTGACCTGTTTGTATCTCCAAACATTTGTATGGGGATACCTCTCAAATGACTGATCTGCATATGTTTCTCCATATTTTTCTTGATATATTTCTATGATCTCCATATGTTTCTTCCCTATTAAAATTGGATTTCTTCCTACAGACACCAGTGTGAATATGCTGCCAGGGCACCTAAGCCTCCCATAAAATTACCTTGTAATGTGGGGTTTCTAATATGAATAAAGTAAAAAGCTTGACCTCATCACCAAGTACTTTGCTAAAGGACCTCAGTTTAAGAAGAAGTGATGCCTGCAGCACATGCTGTCCTAACACAGCTTATCAAAGCCTCTCCTGTGGAATCTCAAGACAAAGGACAATTTGATCCCTGACTTCCCCCTGGGTCCCAACTCTTACTCCGGCACCCCAGCTGCCAGAGAGGAGCTCTCTCCCATGGTAGGGCAAGCTTTCTGCAAAGCCTGGGGCCTCTCATCACAGCCCAAGGAACTCCTCCTTTGGGTCTGCATCTCCCCCTACTCGAACAGTTCAGCCATCGCTAGCCCCAAAGACAGCAGCACAAGGCAATTTGTTCTTATGACAAAATCACTGCTGTGAACTGCAGGGCACACAGGTGAGAACTTTCCTTTTACCAAAAGGCCTCATCTACACCGAATAATTGTACAGTATGTAATTAAAACTTGGCAAGTGTTACTGGCACATTTATAGCACCCATCCAGGTAATCCTCATTCATCTGCCTCGACACAGATCGCTCTGCTGCTGCTGCAAAGTGCTCAGGTATCCCCTCTTACAGCCATGGCTCCATCCCTGGCATAGCACCTGTGTGCACCTAGGAAATTTTGGCTACTCCACCAACATGTGAGAGACTGTAAGAGGATGATGTACTATTCGGAAGCTTCTCATCCAGCACTTCTCTCCTGCCCTAGCATTGCACATGAGCCTAGGCTCTTAGATCACAGTGGCACAAGCCCAGGTCAGGGCTGCCACAGCTCCGAGCTCCCAGCCGGCTCACTCTGGCACAGCCGGGGCCTGACCCGGGGTGACTGCTGCAGCATCACCACTTCTTGGTGCATGGTCACCTTCCGCTGAAGCATCTCCTGAAGGGGCTCACTTGCCAAACAGATAACTGCCAGGCTGACGATCTGTCCCAGCAAGACACTTTTTAGTGTCTGACTAATCCGAGGTAGCTTCATTTTTGTGTTGCCACAGCCGTTCTAGCTGTACAATGAAAGAAATGGCATTCACCTACATCAGACACAAAATACAAAGTTTCTCTGGTGCTGATAAGATATCTAAAAGCTGCTCTGCATCTTAATGTATCGCTCCAAGCACTGCTGGTTACCCATTCACAATTTAATTAAACTGAGCTCAAACTCACTTTCTTGTATAATCAGTGTTCTTTTCTCTGTGCCAAGTGACACTAACTGAATAAATTGTTGAACAATCCAGGTTCGACATGCAGCTTGGCACTCACCATCAGGAGGAAAAAAACACCAACAAACGCAGCCCGATTTGTCAATTCAGGGTAAATTTTTTTTTTTTTTTTTTTTTTTTTGTATTGCTACAGGAGAAACAAGATGTATATCTTCCTGCCAAAAAATTGGAAACTGCTCTCAAAAAAGTCCAAGCTAATTAAGAGTTGATGAACTGTTACTTCTCACCTAAGTGAGAGAACACCAATTACAGTCAACTCATTTGTGGCTGGTTCTCAGAAAGTTCTTCTAGATCTCACACACTGAGAAAAAAATATATCTACATTATCTAGGGAAAATTAATTAGCAATTAAGTCTAAATGTGTTTGTGATGAATGGCTGACCCAGCAGGGAATTTAAATGCCTGTTTTGCAGCATTAGAAGGCACTAAGAAGTGAGGTTTGTCAAAAGAGATGCACAGAAGCTAGAGCTAAGTGCCCTGGTCCTCGACACTATCTCAGCCTGCGCTGCTTGTACACTTAGCACAGGTATCTCCAATTAACACCACATCTTCTCCTTAACTCTCCCTGACTACTAATATCTAACCTTTTAACGTATTTAGACATGTGTCATAGATTAAGGATATGCAGGGCCTTGGGCTGAAACAACTTTCTGAACCACAGTTTAGGCATTTGTCCTTGATTTCAGGCAGAAGCAATTATTTATTCTAGGGGAAGCACCCCATTATCTGTACCCATGGTGGGTGGGGGACCCTGAGGTAACCTGGGTGGCTGGAAACCTCTAATAATACAGCTGTCCCACTATTTCTAGAAGTTAAAAAATACCACTCAGTGGGTCCATTTGGATTTATTAACTCTCATTTGTGCCACCACTGCTGGGTCTGCCCTGGTTCCCAAAGAAGAGTTACAGTGATTAGCTCCGGCATGGCATGAGTACATGGAGGCAGTTTCATCCAGGTCACATCTCCAAGGCCTTGAGCTCTGCTGACACCATGTTGTCCAGGCCAGCAGCAACAGACTCAGCCCATGTCTGTGTTCATGCACCGTAGCACGTGGCTTTGTTAGCCTTGGAAAGAGCAGGGATGGAGGGGAAGGGCTCATGAGGAGCCAGCACTGGAGCTATAAAGCCCTTCTGCTGCAGGAGTCACTGCTGCACTCCTGTCCCTGGGAACAGGTACCCAAACAGC